TGGCTGAGCTTGAGAGGAGAGGAGAGAGACGTTAGGTTGACTTGCTGGTCACTGCACGAGTAACTGGAGAAGGGCGGTGCTGTGCCCAGGACACATGAAGAGACACAGGACCTAGGGCTGAGGGCTGAGCAGGGCAGTGGGGGAGACTGGACCTGAGCCCAGTTTTGGACCAAGATGTCTCTGAGGTACTGGCTGATGTTCAAGAGCAAACAAGAGGAAAGAGATGAAAGTGTGTGTCACACCTACGGCTCTGTGACATGAAGGTTGCCAGCTTTCTAGCCAGACATGAAGAGCAAGACCCAGGCTCAAGCTGAAATCCTATTCCCCCAAAGCATCTGGGTGCGCAGGTGCAGCTCACACCCCTGGATTCCATGCTAGAACCTCTGGAAACCCCTCTCTCCCCCAGAAGCCCAGCCCAGGCCACAGACTACTCAGGGATTATCAGAGCTGGGAAGGACCTCAGAGGTCAACTAGTCGGCAACGCCCCCTTCTTTTAATAGTTTAAAATTTTTTAATTGACTTAGATTCACAGGAAAGTTGCAAAGAGAGTGCAGCGTTCCCATATCCCCAAAGCTCAGCTTCTCCTATGGTTAACGCCTTACATTCATATATTTGTCATAATTAATGAACCAATATCGATACATTCTTATTGACCAAGGGCCACATTTAGGCATCGTAGCTCCTTAGGCTCCTCTAGACCGTGGCACTTTCTCAGGCTTGTCTTGTTTTGGATGACCTTGACAGTTTCGGGGAGTGCTGGCCAGGTGTTTTGTGTGATGTTCTTCAGCTGGAATTTGTCTGACATTCTCTCCCTTCCCTCCGTTTTAAAGTAGCAGAGGTGGCCTCCTTCCCCCTCAAACAGAAGGAGGGAATAGCTGTGGTTAAAGCCTGAGGCCTCAGCCTCTAGGCATCTCTGCAGACTCTGTGGGGCTCTCAGAAACCTAGTCTAGAACAATCCCTCCTTTATAGACCAGGAAGCTGCTCTCCCCAGCCTCCACTCCCCTTTTCTGGGCAGGAACATCCCCATCACCCACCCACTTCAGTTGCATACATCTCCTTCCCACATGAATTTCCTGTCCCACAGGGATCTACAAATAGACAATCTCTCTTATTGTACTGACCTCCAACAGCCAGCCCCTCCCAACCATACGCACACTTGAATCGATCGTTGCTGCCAAAATGTACAGTTGTCCCTTGATACCAGTGGGGAATTGGATCTAGGACTTCCTCGTGGACACCAGAATCCACGAATGTTCAAGTCGCTGATATAAAATGGTGTAGTCTTTGCATGTGACTAATGCAGAGCCACCTCTAGACTTCTAATCATCTCTAGATTGGTTATAACACCTAATGCATGTAAATGCTATGCAAATAGTTGTTATATTGTTTAGGGAAGGATGACCGGAGAAAAGTCTGCATGTGTTCAGTACAGACAAAATTTTGTATCACATACTTTGTATCTGTGGTGGGTTGAATTCACAGATGCAGAACCCGTGGATACAAAGAGCTGACTAATTATATTCAGTTCATTTAGCTCAGCCAGTTGGGTCAGTGAGTCAAGGACTGCTTTGAGAGGTTAGCCGGAAAAATATGCATTCAAAGTCTTGTTTCGCCATTTCAAGGGCTCATGAAACTTTTGGGAATGAAACAGATTCCAGTGAGGAATCCCAGAGACAGGGCAACATGTGGATCACACACGCTCTATGTGAAATTAGAGGTGACCAATCTCCCCAGCACCTTTGGACACAGGGTACACCCAGAACACTCAGGTTTGTTGAAACCAGGCTCTGGTGTCCAGCAGACCTGGGCCAATCCCAGCTTGGCCTCCTGCTAGTACCTGCCTGGCTGAGTCCTCCGCCCCTCCCTTTAACACTCTGTAAAATGGGGATAATGTTGAACTCAGAGGTTGTGGTGCAGACTGAGTGAGGCAAAGGCCAGCACGGTGTCTGGCCAAGCTCGATAGCTGTTGGTATTATTGCTGTTACGATCACTAGGCACTGAAAACATGGCCTGCTCCTTTTCCCACTGCCGTTCTCACTCTCCAGCAGACTGCGGGTGGAACACACAGACCTGACACTCTTCTAGGATCCATATTCTTTGAGGCAGTTACCAAAAGGGAACATTCTAAGTCAGCTGAGGCCCACGAAGCAGCTCAAAACCCAAAATAACTTCGAAGTTAGGGGACACTTTTGACTTGGTCTGGATTGCCTTAGCTGGAGACAGGTGCTCTTAGGGAAGGTCTCTGCGTGTTCTTCTGCTAAGCAGTGCTTTTCCAACTGTAGGCTGCAGCCCATTAGTTGGATATTGAAATCAGTTTGGTGGGCTGTGACCAGGAAAGAAGAAAAGTAGGAGGGAGGGAAGGAGGGAGGAAGGAGGGAAGGGAAGGGGAGGGGAGGGGAGGGGAGGGGAGAAGGAAGGGAAGGGAACGGAGAGGGAAGGAGGGAGTGATGGACTGGACTAGAATATCAGAGGGCATTGTTTGTAGAAAGTATAATATTATTTCAGGAAATTTGTTTTGCGTGTGTGTGTGCATGTGTGTGTGTGTGTGTATGTGTGTGCTGGGTCATGACATAAAATGTCTTTCTTTCTGTGGTTAGTGGTCAAAGAAGTATGTGAGCCACCACACAAGTGTAGGGGAGCGTGAGGTACAGGGAGTGTCTATTAAGCCCATCCAAGGAACAAACAGAAGGGAATACTTTTATGACCAAGAGAGCCAGGACTGAGGATACTCAATGGAAGGTACTGGAAGGTGCTGGAACCTTTCCCACTTCACCACAGGCCCCACCCATACCTCGGGTTATTATGATATCCTTTTCTGGCTCCTTTTAAGAATTAGCAGTTTAAAAAATAAACACCAACCCCTGCAATCAAAAGGGCTTGTGTCCTCATGGGCAGGAGCAGAGGGAGAAAGGAGGGCTCTGTCCTATTGTCAGTGCCACAGGAGCAGGCCTGAGGATGAGGGGCTTCCCAGGAACCCTGGGCTCCATCCTGGACCAGTTATTTTTGAGGTGCTGGTTGAAGTTCAATGGCAAAAAAGAGGAATGAGATGAAAGTGTGTGTCATATTTAGGTGCCTGTAATGCTCAGACTCAAAAAGCCCTAAGGGATAGAGTAGGAGGTGGCAGCATTAACAAGACCAGGGCAACTGGAGCAAGAGCACTGCCCAGGCCTCAGAGAGGCCATTTGATCCAGCCCCCGCTTCCATGCCTTCTCCCCACCCTCAGGGTAGAGGGGGGTCTCTTTAACCCTGCTCACAGGGGCCCCTCATCTTCCTGGCCCTCTGGATCTGCCAGGGACCCCCGAGTCCACACATCCTAAAAACTTGCAGTTCCCTGACCATCCTTTCTTCTGGCCTTAAATGTTTAACTCAGACTGTGCTTTTTCCTGGAACATGTCAGGCCTTGCTCCTCGAGCCTCATCTTAGCAGTCACCTCCTTCCTGCTAACACCAGGGGTGATTGTTTCCTCTGTGACTTCCCTGTGGAGGCATTTCTGCGTGTAGGTGCCACCCCTCTAAAACTGAGCTCCCGAGGTAGGAACTGGGTCTAGCTATATTCCCATGGCTTTCCGAAGCACCCCGTGACACAGCATGGGTGCTGCATTGATCGTTTATGGAATGAGTAGGTAGAAAGGGTGAGCACTCTCCAGAGGTCAAATCTGGGAGGCTCTGTATCAGGAATTTCTAGGAGACTGAGCCATTAGGGAGTCTGGGAGCAGTAGGATTTGCAAGTCCAGTGACAGATCTGAGTCAGAGAGGGCAAGAGACAGCACCAAGTGGGAAGCCAGCGTTGCCCAGAGTCACAGAAGGGTGGGCGGGGCCGGCCAGGACTGTGCTACAGAACAAGTTATGGCTGTTCCCTCAACTTTAATTGCTCTGGCCTTGAGTGGGCTGTAGGGGCCCAGCTCCTGTCCCCAGGGCACCTAAAAGAACTTCAGGAACTTTGACTCCAAGTTCAAAGGTGGGAAAGCCACAAGGTGTATTTAGACTGTGGGAAAAAGAGCAGAGTGGCTGGGGCAGTGTCACTTCAGAGCCAGCTGGGGAAGAGGCAGGGGGCAGGGGATAGATTTTATCCAAGGAAATGGAAGACCACCAAGGCGGGGGTGGGCTAAACCACTCCCCCCATAACTGAATGCAAATTTAGGTATAGGAAGACCATAGCTTTCATCAGAGTCTCAAAAATGCTGTGGCCACAGACAGTAAACAAGCGCAGCCTGAAAGGCCCTGGCAGGTTTGGGGAACACTGTTCTGGCAACAGTGCATGGCGGAATGGAGTTTCACCAGTTTCCCCGGTGGGAAAACATGTTCCGTGGCAAGATAGTGTGCAAATATTTGAGATCTGACATTTGGTTGTTTGATAAGATTGTCTGCCTCTCTGCTATGAGTTAGAAATTTTTCTTTTCTAATAAAGGTTGTCCCCCGCTTTATATGCCTGTTACCTTCGTGGGAACTAGCTGTTCAGCGGCATGGCCTCAGCCATCTCCAACAGTGATGTTTTTTCCTTTGTTCCTTACCCGACAGCTGATTTTCACTCTGCCTGGGGCTCCCATCCTAGGTCCTGCTCTCCTCTCATTCTAGATTGGTCTGGTGCTGGGTCATTTATTCATTCAACAGATGTCTTCTGAGTGCTGACTATGTGCTAAGCACTGTGCTAAGCGGTGCAAAAATCCTGCTCCTTGACCTCAATAAACCACAACGCAGTGGGGGAGGCACCTGAAGAACCAGGCGTGGCAGCGTACGATAAAGGAAACCAGCACAGGCTTCCACTGCAGCAGAGGGGACGAACTAGTGGGGCCTGGGTCGTCTGGGACCGGACTTATGACAGCAAGGCGGGAGGGGAAGGCCACCAAGGTGAAACCTCATCTTGTTTCTGTGCCAAAAATGCTCCGAAGCCCCATGGAATTTAAACTTTCCTCAAATATGTAGACGAATCTCACTCCAGCCCTTTATATAGTTTAAGACCAACTACTATTAATTTTGTGTGTTTTTTCCTTTTTCTTACAGGTTCTAGGAGGTTATCTCAGTCTGGTCTGGTTTTTGCTGCTATAACAGAATACCAGACTGGGTGAATTACAATGAACAAAAACGTATTTAGTTCTGAAGGTTGGGAAGTCCGAGAGCAGGGGGTCGGGTCGGCATCCGGTCGGGGACTTCGTGCTGCATCATCCTGTGGCAGAAGACAGAACAAGAAAGCGCCTGACAGCAAGACAGGAAGTGGGGCCAAACTCGCTTAATAACCACCCTACTTTCCTGATGACACACCCACTCCAGTGACAACAGTAATCCTCTCCTGAGGTCTAGAGCCCTCATGACCCATTCACCTCTTATTAGGCTCCGTCTCCAAACACTATCGCATTGGGGATGAAGTTTCCAACACATGACTGTGATTATGACACAGTCAAATCATAGGACGAAGCAAAGAGGAAGTAAACTCGTTTCAGGAGAAACTCAAAATGTGTTATTAATGTAGTCAGATTTGTTATTTTTGAGAATGAGGACGTTTGTCTTCCTTTACCTCAGGGATGGTCCACGAACCATCCACCTGATGCCTCTTCTGCCACACGTGTCTCTGCCCACATCTGTGCCTAGAGCTCCTGGGCAGAGACCCCTTGAGAGGATCTCTCTCCCTCTCCCAGTGGTGATGGGAGGCAGGCTGCCCTTCCCTTTCTGTCCTGTCCCTTAATGCTCCACCCTACCACTGTGACTGCACGACGGGTGCTTGATGTCAGACCTACCTAAATGAGGGAACTGTGACACAGGACAGAAATCAACCAAATGTGGAGAATGTGAAGAAAGAGGGGAGGGAGACCTTAAGGAACTGGCTCACACCATTGTGGAGGCGGGCAAGTTAAAACCTGCAGGGTAGGCCGGCAGGCTGCAGACCCGGGAAGAACCAATGCCAGTCTGCAGGCGGGGCCCCCTTGAGAGACAGGGAATTCCACCCGAATGACCGACTTCGGACTCCATTCAACCGAATGGGTGAGGCCTACCTACAGTATGGAGGGCCAACTGATTTACTCGGAGTCTACTGATTTAAATCGTAATCTCATGCAAAAAACACCTCCACAGAAATACCTTGGACAATATTTCAGCAGCCGTCTGAATACTGCGGCCTAACCAAGTTGGCACATGTGATTATCGCTAGTCTCCCTCAAGTCTAGTTCCCTAACCTCCCCATTATCCGGCAAGGCTGATGTGGCTGCAAAAGAGACAGAAGGCATAATCATTGCACAACCCAGGAATGAGATAGTGTGTCCTTCTACCACACGTGCATCCCACTCTGAGTGTTAACATCTCATTTCTGTCCTCTTGCTTCTCGCTGTAAGTTTTCAGTGAATGTAATAAACCGTGTTATTGAAGCATCTTAACTTGGCCTGTGAGTCTTTCCCTCTGTGACCCTTGGAATAGCTTACCTGGTAGTGTACTTGAAGGGTACCATTCCATAAGGGAATTTCTACACTACAATGTCTAAAAACCTGGCGTCAGCTTTGCAAAGACACTTTTCTGCACCTTAGGCCACGTCTTTCTTATTCTCAGCAGGCAGCAGGGAATAGAGACCACGAGGATCAAAATCCCCCCCATCCCTGGGTTGATGGGTTTCATTTTACTTAAAAGAGCTTTCCATAAATATTTGTATGTTTCAGGAACTAAAGGACTGGGAGAAACTATGAAGTTACCCTCTGCTCTGCAGTAGCTGGTTATTAGGAAGGACAGGAACGCTAGTCAGAGACTCTGACAGACAACAGAAAATAAAAGCAGAGTTCCCCAAATCCATCTCCTTCACCACCTCCTCCTGTAGGAGCTCCAAGCTTTCAGGCTGTTTTGGAGGTCACCAACGGGTTCAAAGGGGTTTTCTCCTGATGTGTACAAGAAGGAAGAATGGTACAGACTGGCAGTTTAGCCTCTTAAAAACAGGAACACGCTCTTCCCTTTTGCGGCCATCACCTAAGCAGGAGCTGCCAAAATGAAGTTCCATCCCTTTGTGACTTCCGACCGAAGTAAGAACCGCAAAAGGCATTTCAATGCACCCTCCCACATTTGTAGGAAGGTTATGTCCTCCCCTTTTTCCAAAGAGCTGAGACAGAAGTACAACATGCAATCCATGCCCATCCGAAAGGATGACAAGTTCGAGTTGTACGAGGACACTATAAAGGTCAGCAGATTGGCAGAGCAATCCAGGTTTACAGGAAGAAATACGTAATCTACATTGAACGGGTGCAGCGGGAAAAGGCTAATGGCACAACTGTCCACGCAGGCATTCACCCCAGCAAGGTGGTTATCACTAGGCCAAAACTGGACAAAGACCGCAAAAAGATCCTTGAACACAAAGCCAAATCTCGCCAAGTAGGAAAGGAAAAGGGCAAATACAAGGAAGAAACGAGAAGATGCAGGAATAAAGTGACCTTATAAACAAGCTTTGATTAAAACTTGAAATGAGAAAAAAAAAACAGGAACACATTTTTTGTAACCCCCAACACCTATAGCCTGCATGGCACATTGTAGGTGCAAGGTAAAGCTTGCTGGTTAAAGAGAAGTTGGAGAGAGAGCCTGCCGACTGCCTGCAGGGAGCACTGGCTGCAATCAGCATGGGCTGCAGGCCAGTCAGCAGGTCTCTCTCCAACCTCTGGCATCCCATGGTAGAAATCTGAATGCAACTCTTCTGAGAAGCACCGTTAGACATGATGAGTATGTTCTTTAGAAACCACAGCACCACACCAAAGGAGTTAAGTAGGCTTTTCCCAACTGGTCTAGGGGCATAACTAGCATATTATAACATTATTTTCCCATGCAAAATGCATTACTGATTTCAACTAATCTACTTTCAGAATCCACTTATCTATAAACTGAGAACTGCCTATACATGCCATCCCTATTGCCACTCAACCCTGAAATTCAAACAAGTTCCAATACTCCTGAGTCTACAGGAAAGGGTTTGGTTTCCACCTAAGGTGCATGCCGTGATTCTGCATTCTGTCCTGCACCTTGTAGCTTAAATGTTGTAACACCCCAGTGCAGAAATTGTTCCTCATTTTCACACCTTCTCAGTGTTCACTCTCAGCCCCTAGCAAATTGTGAATGCAAGAAATAAAGTGATTGCCACACTGCTTTCCATTTCCACTCCCACATTCTCCCTGGAAAGTGGGAGGGGTGGGTTGTGATGGGTGGGTGAGGGGGAGGAGCATGCGCAGCTGCAACTCCCCCAATGGCACACCCACGCATTCTCAGGTAGGATAAGCCAAGACATTAATATCCTCATTATTCTTTCACTTAACTTATTCTGCCTGAAATAATCCTCCAGTCTCATCAGTAGAGGAGAGGCTTCTGCCCTTCAGAATGAATACTGTCAACAGGGAAAAGACTCAGTTTACTAGAGACTTAGTATCTTGAATGAATGTCACATGTTAAACAATTATGAACTATAGAGGCTCCCGTAGCATCAGGCAATGCAAACTTTCAAAAAAAATGTATTAGCAAACCTCTCTTAAGAGCGCCGTAGGAAACAAATTTTGGAGAATACATTTGCAGCCCCATCTATCAGCAATTCTCAGCTGAAGAAGATGTTACACCCCAAGGGACAGTTGGCAATGTTTGAAGACATTTTTAGCTTCCGTGACTTGGGGAAAGGATACAAACCGGCAATGCTGCGGAGCGTCCTACAGTAACAGAGGACAATTCCAGGCAGCAAAGAATCATAGTGCCAAGGTTGAGAAACCCTAAGTTAGATGGATATGTCTGGTCTGTCACCATTATGATATGATCTAGGGAAACCAACCATTAGCAAAGCCTCCTATTTGCAAAGATTAAAGTGAATACAAAGGCAAACGACTTTCTTCTGAATTGTATTTCCTTATCGGTGGTTTACTATACAGGTTTCATACCATAATTTAAGAATTTTGAACTGTTCCTTGAAGTTTCATTTTGATCTCTTGCTGTTAACCGTTTTTCACACAAAAATCAAGTTTTTATTACTCTAGGCAAGTAATTACTGTGGGAACAGAAAAAGCTACAAAGTGTATTGAAATGAAATGACTGGCTCATTCACCCAATGACTGTGACAGATTGTATTTTCTGAACGTGGCTGCATCCATATCCCCCTCCTCCACACTCCTCTTATAGAATGTGACTTTGGCCTTCCTCCCATTAAAGGGCAGAGGCTATGTCCCCTCCAGTTGAATCTGGGAGGTTTTTATGGCCATGGCACACTATGTGACTTCTGAGGAGAGGTCATAAAAGCATACAGCTTCCTCTTCCTTGTGGTTTTCTTGGAGCATTGGGAAGCACAAGCAGCTGTACATAGGTGTTCTCGCCAAAGTCCCAGGTGGGGCGTTGAAGTCCCAGTGTTAGGTCCTCAACGTTAATCACCAGACATGTGAGTCTTGACGAGCCTTTACAAGCCTTTAGATGGCTCTGCCCTCAGCCATTGGGCCTTTGAGTCTTTCCAACGAAGGCCCAAGACTTTGTGGAGCAGCGACAAGCTGTCCCCACCTTGCTACTTCCAAATTCCTGATTTACAGAATCTATAAGCATAATAAAATTACTGTTTTAAGCAACACAATTTGGAGTAATTGTTACACATCAAGATATATATGGAATGACGACTGTCCCTCAGGTATATAAATATACGTAACATTTATCTGTTATATATATAATGTTATATATAAGACATACATAGGAGATGTTACATGTATGTCTTGTTTATATATATAAAATGTTATATATAAGACATACATAGGAGATAAATGTTACATGTATGTCTTGTTTATATATATGTTATATATAAGACATACATAGGAGATGTTACATGTATGTCTTGTTTATATATATAATGTTATATATAAGACATACATGGGAGATAAATGTTACATGTATGTCTTGTTTATATATATAATGTTATATATAAGACATACATGGGAGATAAATGTTACATGTATGTCTTGTTTATATATATAATGTTATATATAAGACATACATGGGAGATAAATGTTACATGTATGTCTTGTTTATATATAATGTTATATATAAGACATACATGGGAGATAAATGTTACATGTATGTCTTGTTTATATATATTATGTTATATATAAGACATACATGGGAGATAAATGTTACATGTATGTCTTGTTTATATATATATGTTATATATAAGACATACATGGGAGATAAATGTTACATGTATGTCTTGTTTCTATATATAATGTTATATATAAGACATACATGGGAGATAAATGTTACATGTATGTCTTGTTTCTATATATAATGTTATATATAAGACATACATGGGAGATAAATGTTACATGTATGTCTTGTTTATATATATAATGTTATATATAAGACATACATGGGAGATAAATGTTACATGTATGTCTTGTTTATATATATAATGTTATATATAAGACATACATGGGAGATAAATGTTGCATGTATGTCTTGTTTATATATATATGTTATATATAAGACATACATGGGAGATAAATGTTACATGTATGTCTTGTTTATATATATGTTATATATAAGACATACATGGGAGATAAATGTTACATGTATGTCTTGTTTATATATATAATGTTATATATAAGACATACATAGGAGATAAATGTTACATGTATGTCTTGTTTATATATATAATGTTATATATAAGACATACATAGGAGATAAATGTTACATGTATGTCTTGTTTATATATATGTTATATATAAGACATAGGAGATAAATGTTACATGTATGTCTTGTTTATATAATGTTATATATAAGACATACATAGGAGATAAATGTTACATGTATGTCTTATATATAACATTATATATATAAACAAGACATACATAGGAGATAAATGTTACATATATGTCTTACATCTATATATGCACACACATTTATCTGCAATAAAACTTCCAGATTACTGTACATCATGGACTTTCAGGACAGCTGAAAAGTGGTCAAAATCACAAAGTCCAAATTTTTCAGTGTCAAAGATCTTCTGCCAAAATGGAAAATAAGGGGCAAGCATGCATCCCTCTCCTACTCGATACCTAAGTCAGACATCACTCATCAGAGAATGGTTTCCTTATGAGCAGGAACCCAGCCTTAAAATGCTTCCCAACAAATCTCCCAGCAAAACTCGAAAACCGAGTGATTGGGGCTGGCGCACAATTCCAAATCCCTTTGCCGTCCCCAGTGCGCTTTGTGAGAGCTGAGGCTGGTTTTCACTGGCTCATCCCCAGACAGGATTTGACTAGTGTTTAATCAGGTGCACACAAAAGAATGTATGGCTTTGCAAAACCTGTTTGCAAAAATGTTGTTACATTAGCTTCCAAGATGAACATGGTGGACTTCTTTTTATCAGGGTTTTTGAGAATTTGGCTGTAAAATA